AGTGAGGTTGGCCCAGGATCGGACATTGTTTCATTCTGCTGTGCATGGGGTCACTATGAGTCGGTTCCGACTCGATGGCACCTTACAACAACAACAACAACCTGGAACTTGAGGAAAGAGTTTCCCCTAGCCGTTTTACCGGGGGAGTCCACAGACCTAAGATAAGGTCTCTTTGTGAAGTGCTGTTGAGTTGGTTCTGATTCATGTTGTTTTTAAGTGCCGTCGAGTTGATTCTGGCCCATAGCGACCCTGTATAGGGTTTCCAAGGAGCAGCTGGTGAGCTTGAACCACCAGCCTTGCAGTTCAGACGACTTTGCAGTTTGCCGCATTAGCCCACAGCGCCACACCAGGACTCCTGATTCATAGCGAAGCTGTAATAAGGTTTCTGAGGAGCGGCTGGTGGGTTTGAATCGCTGACCTTGTGGGTTTGAAATGCTGACCTCTGCTGCAGCATTTCCCCAGGACCCTTCCCCTTTCTGTGGTCGTCAGGCCCAGCCCAGGGTACATGCTCAGTCCATTTGGATTGTGTCCGAGTTTGCCATGTGGTCACAGCCACTCTGAGTAAGTGAGTGGTCTCCTCAGTTGGGACGGAACCAATATATTGAGTGGATGCCAATTCTTGACCCCAGAGATCCAGAAAGGACGAAGACAGCCTCTATTTTTCAGGGACACCCAGGCTAGCTGAGGACTAATTAATGTAGTCTTATGTGGGTACACACTGCACTGTTGGTCGTGTATACAAAGTTCCAGTGGCACCTAAGGGTGGGGAGCTGGACAGCAGAGGAGGTTCCCTGGTGCTGGGGTGTGCCATAGGCTGGAAGGAGAAGGCAGCTAATTGGGTGGGGATGGTGTGGAAACAACATTCTGGGCCAGGGGGTTCAAAGTCCTTGCTGGTCTTACCAGAAATTCATGCTTGTGCATTCTTGGGACAGCAAATGACAGTGAGCCCAACCCCAAATGACTTTTTCTTTATACTGCAAATTAATTACTATGCACCTGATACATTCGGCCGTGAGTTAGATTAGTAACTTATTCACAGCTAGTTGGCTTGAATTTAGCCCCACAGTTTCCTTTAAGTTAAAATATAATACAGGATGGAGGGATGGTGCCCGTGTGACACGTTAGTGTGTGATACTGGAAATTTTTCACAAGACGGCTAGTTCAGGGATTTATTATGGTCTATTCAGAGCGTTGGTTGTCCAGTTTCCCTAACAGGACTACTTTCCTTCTGTCGTGTTCAGTTTGCCATAGATAGGGTCCAGAGCTGTTGCTATTCTTGATAATCCATCCTGGGAGAAACAGATGCTGTGATTTCCAGTAGAGACATCAGGGAAGCGGGGCGGTCCCCATGGGAAGGGAGTAAGTAATAGAGCCCATGGGGAGATGTGGACCACAAAGGATCAGCTGAAGGAAATCATATTGGCTTCTCTGTCTAGGTGTAAATACACATTCCCCCCCCCCCCCCGCAACATCATAGAAATAGATATTAAACGAAAATATCAAAATCTGAAGTGGTTGTTTCTTGACATAGCCTTCATCTAGGTGTAGACATTTCTGAGGGCAGTATTTTCATTCTAACACCTTCCAGAGGACTTCTGCCATCTTTTATTTACACAGGTCAGAATGGTAGTGTTGATATCCTTAAAGGACTGAAATCATGCTCCTTTTAAATGTTCTTTGAGTTTTGGGGACAAAACAAATCTGATGGGGCAAGATCAAGGCTATAGGATGGATGGGGTAGGGTTCCCAATGAAATTCTAGTAGTACATCCTTTGCTACCCTTGAAGGATGAGCAAGTGCATTGTTGTTGTTGTTGTTAAGTGCCGTCGAGTCGGTTTCGAGTGCATTATTGTGATAAAAAAAAAAAAATTCCTCAGTACAACTTTCCGGGCAATAAATACACATTTCTTAGCCATCTTAATAGAATGTAGAGGCAGGCTGTACTTCTGACTGTAAGATCAAATAGTCAATGTCATGTAAACGTTACGCAGCTGCGCAGTAAGGGGTTGCTCTGTTGTGGAAGCTGCCTCACTGTGTCCTGCACTCCTGAGTGTTTCTCAGCAGTTGTGATGCGCTGTGTTCAGTACTCCTCCAGGTTCACTTCAGGTGTTAGCTGTCCGCACTTTTTGTTGTAATATACTCAGTGATAATGACATAGACACTTAGTTGCTACGTACAACTGCTGAGGCAGGATTAACTGTACCCTTGAACTTTTACTGATGGGGTTTGACCCTCATCACTGAGACACTGATTCACGGCTTCACGCTCTGTGTTCAGAGATGGCGGGGTGAGGAGGCTCGGGCAAATCCTTTTCTGTGCAGTTCCACACATTGTCATCAACCTGTACCCTGCCTCCTTCCAAAAGCAACCCTGAGCTCCCTTCAACAGTAAATCCAATACTGTAATGATGAAGGTAAGCGAAGAAATCGGGGACTAGGGAAAATCAGGTCGGTACTCCAAGTCTTGCCATGGTGTGTGTATCTTAATAAGGCCGGCTCTGGGCTTATTAAAGGCTCAGCCAGTGAGGAAAACATGGTAAATTAAACAAGGTGATTCCTATTGTCTCAATTTAAGGCAGAAATAACACTTGGAGTATGAGAACTCATGGACTGAGGCTCCCGGGCCGCGTCTCCTCTGAGTCCTTAGTCACAGTGCACAGGGATTCTGGCCATTCCTGTCAGTAGCTCCGGTGTCTAAGGGTTAAAGGTTACGTACTAACCGAACAGTCATGGCCTAGAACCCACTGCCCCTTTGTGGGAGAAGAGACCTGGTGCTCTGCATTGTGAAAATGGCAGTCTAGACAATCCTGTGGGACCGTCTGCCTCTGTCCTCTGAGGTCACTGTGAGTTGGAATGGACTTAACAGCACACAACAACAACAACAACACAACAGCTCTCTGTAAATGTACCGCTCCCTGATGGTCTGGCTCAATCCAACAGACTGTGGAGTTAGGTTCCACCACAGGTGCATGAGGTGACAATGTGCCGGTGGCAGGTTACCTGTGAGGATCTCTTAAAGGGCCCAGCGTAGCCACCTTTGGTTCAGGATTGCCTTTCTCCAGACAGATCGCCCTTTCTTTCAGGGACTCAGAGTCAGGAAGTTGGCTTACATTTTGGTGCCATGTTGCTCAAACGAATTTTTATCTTAATCTTCATAGCTCTGGAATGTCCTGGCGATGCTCCTGGCACTAGGTGAATGGGAACTGAGATATGCCCCAAGGGGACATCCACCCGCTCATCTTTCTCCCCTGGGTGTGTGCTCCTTCTAGAAAAGCTGGCAAATTTTAAAGTTTCTCCCCCTCATCCATGAAAGTGAATTTGTGTAAGTCACATGGCGTGTTACGCAGCTTCTCAGTAGCTAGAAATCAGATGATGTACTTGGCCTCTCCAGGCAGCCCTTCATATGCATTGTCTTCATAACTGAACTTCAGGGAACAGAGGCTAAGGTCATGCCCCTGATGTCTAGCATGTGATGCAGGGCAGACTCATCAGCTTGAGCTGTCTCCTGATCTAGGATTTAAATTGTCGTAAGAAGTAGAAATCCTCAAGCTAGACTCTAGAATGGAAATGACAGTATTGACTTCAGGAGGGTCCGGAAGAGATTCAGTGACACATCCATGAAAGGTACAGTAGGCCCTCCGTATTGGGACGGAACCTTGATTTTGTGTTCTCAATAAACGCACTGGATTAGAAAAATACAGCTCACCTCCCCTAACACGTCGATTCAAGCTGTTGTCAGAATAGGACACGTAGGGAGGAGGTATTTTTGGTTTCTTCTCCCTGATTAGTAAGTAACACCCCATTTTATCCTTTTTCAGAGACACAGCACCCAGGAGTATCTTCCAGCGAGTCCTGGGAATCCTAAAGAAGTCTTTGCACGATGTTCAACTGGCCTGCAGAGATTCTTCCCAAGCCGAACACCTCGCCTCCAGCCTGCAGTTAATAACAGAATGCTTCCGCTGTCTCCGAAACGCTTGCATTGAGTGTTCTGTGAACCAGGATTCAATCAGGTGGGGTCTTTGTAGTTACAGAAGGGCCTTTGATTATATTTCCACGTGGTGTGCACGCGGCTCATCTCCAGGGCTATCTGTTAGGAATTTTTTTGGTATTAGAGTATCACCCTTTCTCAGTGCATGAGCAGCCTTTTCATCTCCAAGGAGAAATCCAGCACATCACACCTGAGTATAATGATAAAATGAATGGAATGCTGTGTGATCGTGTGCGTTTAATATTAGGGGTTACTTAGGGTTCTTGTATTTATGATTTGTTTTCAGGTATTTAGTTTTGTAAACAGCACTGATATGAACCTGTTTTGATTCTTAAATCCTAAATGCTGCGGCCTCCTTAATTACATATGTGTAATTTTTTTAAGAAGCTTTGGCATTGCAGTGGGTTAAGTGTTGGGCTGGTAACCAGAAGATTGGTGGTTCAAACCTGCTAGCCACTCCATGGGAGAAAGATGAGGCTGTTTGCTCCTGTAAAGATCTCCGGTCTTGGAAACCCAAAGTTGCAGTTGCAATCTGTCCTAGAGGGTCACTGTGATTTCAGTGCACATGTAGCGCTGGCCTTTTCTTAGTTGTAAATGGTTGATGTTGTCATTGGTTACCCTGGTGTTTGCTTTAAACAAGGAGCTCCTTTTCTAAACTAGTCAGATGGCCTTTGTTTCTTTAAGAGTGTGTTAAGTTACACACCTGACTGTCACCAGTCTAGCATTGTCCACATTTGTAAAAGCAGCTAGACAGGAGCTACAGAATGACCCGCTCTGCTCTCACGGCCCACGGCCCTCTCTCCTCTCAGCACGGAGCCCCTCTTCCCTTCCATTGGATGAAACCTGCCTTTATTAAACTTGGAGCGACATTTTTATTAATAAGTGACTAGCTGAGCCACACAGAGCATGCTCACCTTGTCTGTCCCGGACCTGGTGTAGACAGCTTCCAGGCCTCCTGGGCCCACCATGCTGAGTGAAGGAGCTACTCCAGAAGCCCTTGACTGCCTAGACAGTCCTGTACCTGAGACTTCGATTTGATTCATGAGCATTTGAGGATCAAAAGGGAGGGGAAAAGCTGGTGTTGCCTGACTCCAGGACTGAACCGGACCTGCCATCTCTTTGCAGGGCAATGGAGAGAGCACTGGGATGCTTGGTGGTTGTGACCCAGGCTTTGGTCTGACTGGTGCTGTGTGCTGAAAGCAGTGGGCCAGCAGGACGGACCGCTGGGTGGCTCTTCTCCCCTTGAAGGGAGCGCCTCAGAACAGAGACTGCTGGCTCGGCGGGGAGGGAGGGAAGCTTGGGGAGCTGTTCCTAAGCACCAGGCTCTGTCCTGCTGCTGCCCTGGCCGTGTTGTGTTTAATGCGTAGAACAAACCTGCTGCAGCGGTATAGCCTACTACTGGTTTTCCATGTTTACGAGACAAGAAGCTCTGACTCAGAGGTGAAATAGCTTACCTGAGGGTCATGCTCTCAGTGAGACAGCCTAGGGACGTTCTGTCGAGTTCCAGACTAGCTGGCTCTATCTGTCGTAACTCTCCCAGGACATCCACATTGGCCCCGGGGCTGTGCAATGGAGCTGGTCCCGAGGAGTGAGTGAGCCTCTCTGAGGGTCTGCTTTTTCCTCTGTAGAGTAGGGCAAAGTATACCTTTTACCCAGGATTGTGGTGACGTGTGTGTGTGTGTGTGTGTGTGTGTGTGTGTGTGTGTGTGTGTAACACACCAAACAACTGAGCACGTGGTCTGATCAGTAAATAGTAAATGTTTCTGTCTCAGCACTGACATGGGGATAAAAGTTTGTCATTATCTTAATGCTCTTTTAAGATGATTTATTCTTTTCTTTTTTGACTGCAAAAGTGATATGCAAGCCATAAACATCCAAACGTAAAAATAGAAACTATGGCAAATGCAGTGCCCCCCTGTCAGAGTCACACATCCATTCTTGCTCTCAGCTGTCCCGCGCAGACCCATCAAGGCATGGCGCAGTAGTGGCATCTTCATTGCAGGCAGCTTAGGTTGGGCTGAAATAAACAACTTAAAAGGAGTGCTTAATTTTCTGTTTCTTACTGGCTAGAATTATGTTATTATTCACTATTGATTTTCAAAGAGACATTCTAACCATTTAGACTATCAGCTTGGGAAAAGACATTTTGTAGTCAGAAATACAAAATCATACATTTTATTTTTATTAAAAAGTTAATCAACAGGGGCGTACCATTAAAGCTCAGATCTTTCTGCGTCTTTTGGCTGAGCCTTATACTTGGGGTGGACTTCACCAACGATATATGGAATGGGCTGTCAGAGAGCAAAGCAAACAATCTGAGTCTTAGGGAATTCTAGAAAATCATGAAAGAAAACAGTTCAGAGCTGTTAGTGTTGCAGGGGTCAGATAGTAAATACTGTAGGCTTTGTGGGCTGTGGGAGCTTTGTCGCAGTTGTCCGACTCTTGCATTGTAGCAACATTCACACACAGTGTCTGAATACAAGTGTGGCCAGGTTCCAGTGAACCTTTAATTTACAGACAAAGGGATTTGAGCTTTATAAAATGTTCACTTTCATGAAATTATTAGTCTTATGATTCCCCTCCCCCAACCATTAAAAAGTTAAAAAAAAAAATCATTCTCAACTTTCTGGCCATAGAGAAACGGGCCCGTTTTCCGTCTGTTTACCATTTGTATGTGTAGAAGCGAGAGTGGGAAGCAGAGGTGGAAGGGAAGCAGTTGCTAAGCCACGTTGTCAGCAGCCCACCAGCATGGAAGACGAGAAGGGGAGCTCAGCCCTCTGACCTCCTGGCCTTGGGGCAGGCGGGAGCCCTGCCGTGTGCGTATTGACCCTGATCTCTGTGAGGGCTGTCCAGTAGTGCAAGGCTGTGACAGGGTTCTGGAATATTCCATCCATTCGGATCAGGATTCTTCTTTAGTAGTAAAACAGCTTTTTTTATTTGATTCTGACTTACCTTGAGAGACATGAAGAGACTAGGGGACTACATTAGTTTTCTGTTGCTGCTGGAAAAGATAAAGATAAACTCAGTATCTTCAAGCAGCAGGAATTCATTGTCTTACAGTTCTAGAGATCAGAAATCCAGAACCAGTCTCACTGGGCTAGGAGTCCACAGGGCCATTTCACTCTGGAGGCCGAAGACAGCATCTGCTTCCTTGCCTTCTCTAACTTCTAGAGAGCACCTGCTTTCTTTCTTTTTTTTCCTGTTACTTTATTTATTATTATTTTTTAAATTGGGAATTGAGTAAAAGTTTACATGGCAAATCCTTAGTTTTACATTCAGTAAATCATATTTTGTTTCGTGTACTATCATTTACCTGCACTTACCTAGTCCCCTTTTCTGTTTTTTAAGTTTTGATTGTCAATTGAGTGATAGTTTACATGGGAGAATATCGGTTTTATACTCATTTCACTGCAATGGTTACAATGTCTTCTGTGCATCATTATTAAACAGTATTTGCTTCTATTCCCTCTGTTTCTTTTTGGGGGGGTGGGGGGAGGGTATATGCAAAAGCCCTCAGGAATATAAAATCATGTAAATAACCGCAGGGCACATTCTGCAAGCCTGCCTCCTGGCCACCAGCACCGGGCCGCCAGCACACAGCCTTCTCCTTGAATGAGTCTAGGGTTCTCAGCTGAGAGCAGCTGCCTTCCTTGGCTCATGGCCCCATCCTCCTCCTTTAAAGGCAGCGGTGTAGCATTTCTGGTGTCTCTACTCCTCTTGTAAGGAACCTTCTGATTATATTAGGTAATCCAGAATAGTCTCCCTATCTCCACATTCTGAACTTGATCACATCTAAAAAATCGTTTTGGTTCTTTAAAGTAACAAAATTACAGGTTTTGGGGATTAGGATGTATCGATCTTTGGGACTGCCATTGTTTGGACACAGTCTCCCTTTTGCCCCTCAAAGATTCACATCTGTTCCACTAGCAAAATACATTCATCTCATCCCAAGGACCCTCAGATTCTTGACTCATTAAGTTCAAAATTATATCTAAGTCTCATTAGACCAAAAGTCCCAATCTCATCATCTAAATCATCTACATTACATCTGAGTAAGATTCTGAGTATGGGCCATCTTGGGGCAAAAGTTTCTCTGCATCTGTGGACCTGTGAAATTAGAAAACAAGTTAACTTGCCTCCGAAATACAGTGTGGGATTGGTATAGGATGTGGCGCTGCAGGATAATGCGCTTGAACGTGAGGTGACTTTGAGCTACAACGGCAGCAGTTCAAACCCACCAGCCACTCCTTGGAAACTCTGTATACAGGGTGGCTATGACCTGACTTGATGGCACACAACAACAGCAACAACAAAAATTCAGTTAGAGATATTCTCCTTTAAAAGGGGGAAAAAATGGAAGGAAAGAAGTCACCTGACTTCAGATTCAAATTGGGCAGCGTACTGGGCTTCAAGAGCTGCTTTGAGACTGTCCTTCTTCCCCCTCAGCCCTGCCCACAGCTGCCTTTTTCAGGAAGGGTAGCAGGTATAACAGCGGAGGAGTTCTGTCAGCCTGTTTCCTTGTGGTGAATGTTGGGAGCTTGACAGCCTGCTCTCAGTTCCTCCTTTCTCTGGGCCTTTGAGTTGAAGCTGACAGCGATCCTACTGCCAGAATCTCAAAAACCTGGTGGGTCTTCTCGGCGTGTTACGGGGATTCGCACCATTAGGTAAGAGGACCTCCACCGAATGGGAATCTCTGTGGAATATTGATGGTTATGCTGAGGTAGCTGAGGGAAATTCATGAATCACATACCTAATCTCTACCAGACGCCCTCGGTGTGGCCAGCATCTGAGACCTGATTATCCCGAGGCCCTGCTGAAAGGCCCTGTGGCCACACCCTTGGCTTTGCCTCCATCACGTGCCTTCCGGAATGCTGCTAGGCTGAATTTCCCGATCAGCATGGACTGGCTCCTCTTCACTGAGCAGCTCTCCGTACTGCTGATCACTTTCCTCGTGCATCTTACTTTCAGCAGCAAGAAGAAACCAGGTGGCACCTTGAGTGACTTGCTTTGGAACGCCATCAG